TCAAGGTCAAACATCGGAAAACGCTGACGAATGATTGCCGTCTCCTCTCAGGTATCATCCTCCGGCTCCATGTGCCTCCACAAAATCAAGCTTTCCTCCACTAGGCGTCCCCCCTTCTTTGTCCATCGAGTGTCCAACACCTGTAAGGGAGTCAGCTCCAGGTCTCCATCCGCCGAAACTGGCGGGGTCGTCGTATTGACCCGATCCGCCGACCCATGATACCTCCTCAAAAGAGATAGATACATGGAAGGTCGAATGGATGTGCGCGTCTGCGGGGTAACCGAAGACGGTAAGCAATTGGATTGACCTTCTGCAGCACCTCATAAGGTCCAAAGAACTGGCCAACGAGCTTCTGATATACCCGTCGAAAGACAGAAGCCTGTATGTAGGGATGTAGTCGAAGAAACACCCAATCTCCCACCTCGAACTTCTCCTCACGCCTTCCTGCATCTGTGACACGCTAAAACACAACACCAAACTGCGACCAAGTGTAATCGCAGCCCGAAAATGCAGTAACAGGTAAGCTCTAATTGTCAACTCGGGGTCTAGATCTACTACCTACTCCGTGTATATTTGTTATCTAGCAAACTAAGTCGATTGATTGTGGTTTTAACTAAAAGCAGTAAGAAAGCAGGAAATGGTTTGGTTTTCTAAAGCAAAGGAAGAGTCACTCGGGAATGAGTCCCCCTAGTTCCTTAGTTAGGTCTCAGTTGTAATTACCCTGGGTTGATTTAGTGTTGATTAAACTGCGGAAGATCTGACAGTAGCTTGGAATCTCTTAAGCTGACCAAGCCCTCTCAGTCCAACTACCCGGCAGACGACTAGTCTTCACCGAGATAGAAAGCTGAGGCTATGAACATAGAACTCCACTACTGGAATTGGGTTCCAGTACAAAACAGTAGATTGACTAACTCTCGTATAACCAATCTACCACTACCGAATGATGAAGCTCTAACAACCTAATCAGATTCTATCTATCTTAGGTTGCAGCAGAAATCAATAAATGATGATCAGACTTCAATTGATTCAATGAATCATGCACCATTCGATTAAAACCAAACAATATAACAATCCCAAGTCATTACAATCAAGATCCATAACACATGGAACTAGGGTTCTTCGTACCCAAGTGAGAGAAAGTTCTACTCCATAGAGAGAGAGAGGGAAACAGAATACAAAGCAGTCATACTCATAACAATGGGAAGAATCTGCTCTGGGATGATGATCTTCACTCCAAGGATGATTTCCAAGTTTGATTAATGAACCCCAGCTTCAAAACCACTCTTAGGGGGTGTTCTTCGTACTTTCTCTCTCTAGGGCTCTGTTTTTGCTCTAAAAAGTCGATTCACTCTCCTTTTGCTCGAAATTTGGTTAAAACCCAGAAATTTCCGACCACACGCGCAGGCCACATGGCCGTGTGGCTTTCCCAACTGCCCGTGCGAGTGTGCAAAACGCGGTGTTTCGATAAGTGGACTTCAGGCAAGCTACACGGCCAAAACCACAAGGCCGTGTGGAATTTCCAGGATGTCCGTGTGAAGGCTCGGTGATTTCCACACGGCCACATGGGTTCCATTACATGGCCAGTGTGGCTTGCCCGTGCAATTTGATGTCACACGGCCGTGTGGGTTTTTAGGCGTGCCCGTGTGGCTTCCTCAGCTTCTCGCCAAACGTCCGATCTTCGTCCAATCGACCCTGAACTCGTTCCCAAACCTTCATTCACGTACTAGGACCTGAAATATCATAAACAAGAACAACCTAGCGTGAAATTAGCCTAAAACACGAGAGATAAGACTCAAACGGTGTAAGAATGGTGGGCAAAAACATGTGTATATATCAAGTCATCAAATTCCCCCACACTTAACCGTTTGCTTGTCCCCAAGCAAACCAAGTTAGATACAAGGTAAGCTCAGCATATTTCAATCATACCAACATTGGGTAGAATTCATATAGGCACAGAACACGTGAATCGTACTGGCTTTCAAACATCAACACATGAACAACTTCAATAGCAACCTGGACAACCACCACAGAGGACATTCGAGTGCAGCAAAATCGAGTAAAGGAGGAGTCTTCCTTCTTTTCATCAACCAACATAGACTTGACTCAACCACTTACTCAAAACAGTCACCTAATGCACAAAACTCATGATATCAGAATTGAGACCGAGCAATCTAGGTCCTCACCGGGGTAAAAGAGTATAGAGAATATGAGAAAATGAATCGCTCACTCTCGACCAGTGGGGTCAAAACAATTTGATGCGAAAAATGCGCATGCTTATTCTCTAAATCCCTAACATCTCTTCACCATGACGGCAGCCTCTAAATGTTAGAGTTCACATAAATGGGTGTCATCACTAACTAATCCGTAGGTCTTAGACACAGGTTCAAATGACTGGCTAGGGTCTTGGACATGGGGAAAAGGCCTTTTAGATGGTGGAAGTATTCATAGCACAAGGTTCCACAATTCCTAACCCAACACAATCACAGCCAATCAAACCACTTACTTTCTTTCCGCCATTCTGCATTACTCAAATTCTTTAGAGCACAAGAGCGAAGGAGGTCACAATAATGTTTGTATTTCCAAGCCAGACTGCTAAGAAACACTACTTAATGGGCACTATTCAGATTTTTGGTGGTGGCTCTCTTTTGCTTTCATTCATTTTTTTTTCTTTTTTTTTTCATTTCTTGAGAGAACCACCACCTATGCACATTTTTCACACATATGCCCAACTTTTTAAGAACTACCTCCAACCCTAACATTATATTTAGCAAAAACAGCAGAAAACATGTAAAAACCACTCTGTGGAACCTTCTAAGAGATGCAAAAGGGTGAGTTTTCATTGTAGACTGAAAGAAAGGATAACAAACGGCTCAAAGGGGCTGACTAGGGGGTATGACACACTAGGACAGTCAATTTGGTCGTGGGCTAATCCTATGCCTCCATCATCTTAGCTAATGACAACGTGAATGCTACACATCATGGAAGAGGGAACCATCGCACAAGAAAGAAATGAGCAGGCTCAAATCTCACATGGCTACCTATATGCTCTATCTCTCATTCTAATTCCTTGAACTAGATGCATAAACGACTGTCAAGAGCAAGTGATCAATCCAAGTCGCAGTTGGTAAGCAAACAGTTGAAACACTGAACCCCTACACAACTCTACTGCATGTCTCAGTCATCATTATAGGTTGTCCTAGTCACAATCCAGTTGTCATGCATCAATCCGAAACCCATTCAATTCACCAATCAAATCACAATGTCAATATGATCAAGCAAATAATAGTACTTGGATCCCTCAAATCTCGAGATTTGGACAGCGGACTAGGCTCCAAGCACACATATATACTTTCCAATGAATACAAAGAACCCCCCACACTTAAGCACGACATTGCCCTCAATGGAGCTGAGGGAGAGATAAGGGGAACGATGTTACCGGATTGAATACTGTCGAGGGACTGGAAGTGGACCAGTCAGCGGGGCTAGCATCAGCAAAACACACTGGGTGATAGAAACCATAGTTCCAAGTGAACAAACCGCAAATAAACGAAAGAAAAACAAACCTTGGCGGGGTTGCCTCCCCACAAGCGCTTCTTTACCGTCTTTTAGCTGGACGCCAGTAGGGTGGATACTCAGAGAGGTGAAGGAACAGGTGCCTCCAAGAGCGGATCCACATTGCTCTTGAGGTACAACTTCAGATGGTGGCCATGCACACGACGAGTGTGGCCACCAACCCTAGCTCGGCCACCACCACCACCTCCGCTCTTGCGCCTCCCGATCGTGCCCGTCGAGGGATTGCTGGAGCTGGCGTTTGAGCGGAGCCCATTCCTGATCAGAGAGCTGTGACGAGCTCAAGTTGGCTCTGATACCAGATGATAGAACGATAGGTCTTTGGAGAAGAGAAAGACATTAGGGATTAGGGATTGGAATTGATAAATTAGGGATTGAGGAGAGTTGGGGAAGAACAAGAGAGAGAGAAGTAGGATTTAGGGTTTTTTATATTCTTATTGCTTAATATGAAAATGAGTGTTCTGAACCCTTTTGTATGACTTCCAGGCAACTAACACAAATAACAAAAGTGCCACTCCCCCTAGCCAACTCGGCCAACCCAACCCGCCCCCCTACTGACCCGGCCCAGGCTGCGGGTTCCCATCAACGACAAGGGATGAGATTGAGCTGGACGGAGAAGAACTGAAGCTGTAAAGTAGACGATGATGCTTGTAGAGTGGACAGACCGCCTAGCTCTGATTAATAACGTTTTAGTCAATTTACTAGGCATTATGAATGCCTAGTGGTCTGCCTAGCGCCTAGTCGGGACTCGGGCGACGCCTTCATTCTTCTAGCATTAGGTTCGACAGCTGGTTGCGTAGAGGTAGGAACAGAGGGCGACGTGGGTCGATAGCTTGGCGAAGAGCGCAGCGGGGGCTACGATTTGGGTCGGGTTACAGGTCTTTTCGGGTTGTGAGCGCTCTCAGTAACAATATCAAACATGCTTCATATTTTTTTAAAGAATACAAATTTTCACATATGCATTGAAATGGTTTATCTATGACATGTCAATTAACATATTCTCAAATCCTCCCATGCCAATGAATGAAATACAAATTGCACAAATCGTTAAAAAACATTCACAAGAGTAATACTGCTACAAGAAACCCATGATATTTGATTATCCTTAAACTGCAAATATGTCTTTCAAATCCTCTTGAAGTTTTTAAACATCTCACTGATTTACCAATGATTTTATCTTTTTGGGAGTGACATATGAAATGGAACGGGACTAACGGATGGACCTGCTAATCCACCCAATCCCAAAAACTCACCAATTAATCAGATTCGGATCATTTGGATTTCGAGTTATAAAAAATTCTATTTTCGGGCAGATTTGGGTCGGGTCAACGAGGCTGTTGTAATTTTGGTGTTTTTTTCGGCGATTAATCTGAAAATCTAGGGCCGTGAAATAGGAATTCAGATTGGAGATGAGTATGCAAAAGGGAAGAGGGGGAAAACCGGCCAGCAGAAATATCCACTACGTCTACACGCGAGGATGGGACAAACCAGCCATTGGAAATGAAATGAGCCACGCCTTCCGTTCCCTCAGCCACATCCCTTCTCTAGTTAACAAAACCTGAGACTGCTCTCCCCTCGGTTTCCCACCATTATTTCCTCCGTAGTCCGTTGCAACCACTCTAAGCTTCTGTCCTGTGCTTCTAAAGGTACTGCTCTTCCTCCCTTCTTCGATAGTCATATTCCTCCCAAGTGGCGTTGATTAGTTGCTTGTTGCTCTGCCGCTTCTGTGTTTGCTAGCCGCTGAATTCGTTTTTGTTGACTGATTTGGATGAAAGCTGGAAACCCATTTCCTAGTTTCCCATATTGTATCTTAAAATGGTGACGCGAGGTTGAAAATTTTGAACTGAATATGAATAGCCAAACCGGCGAACTCTAGCAGCTGCCAGTAGATGAAATCTAGGGCCAGATTCCAATCGCACCATGTTCTTACTTGTTCCTGCAACTTGTGTAATGATGCCCATGGGGGGTTTCTTTGTCAGCTGCCCTTTCTTGTCACTCCCTCCACACCTCCGTCAAGTTGCTGGAGGTTAATTTTGCATTGACTCATTCTGTTTCCATTTGATAATTAGTGTCTTGTATGTCGTTTGTGTTCTTGAGAATCGTTCTGCTGAAACTTCGTAATTATAGGTCCTAAGTTGTGGGGTCTCTGTAAATATTTGGTGGCTCTAATATAGTTTTCGCAGCATAGCAAGCGGATCCACCAAAAGGTTTCATTTATTTAAATAATAAACCTCCAGGAACATACTGCTTTCAAGTATTAGTTGTTTCCTCTGGACTGCAAATGTATGGTTGTTGTTTCTCTAATCAGCCGAAACCAACTAGCTAAGGCTGACTGTTCTTTCTTGTCAGGTTATTCAGTTGAGAAGTGTGTTTTCTGCATGATTTTGTTACCAGCAGCCGCAGTGAATTTCAATATACCAAATTATATAGCTTGTTTGTTTGTGTTCTTGCTAAATCTTTTATCATGTTTCTCATTGGTACATATCTGACTTCTTTTGATATACAGATGTCAGCATCATCAGCTTGCCTTTTAGGGAATGGTTTGTCAACAATAAACGCGAAACCAACAAATTTCTATGGCAGAAGCATTCTTCCCAGTTCAAGTCTTCCTTCATTGGGCAACACATCATCAAAAGCATTATTGGTGAAGGCATCTTTGGACAGAAGGCAGCTTGGTAGAAGAAGAGATTTTCTGAAGCTCTTGTTGGGGAGTGCGGGGCTTGGAGGATCTGCTTTGCTTGGAAATGGGAAAGCTCTTGCTGACGATCAAGATGTTTCTTCATCCAGGATGTCTTATTCCAGGTTTTTGGAGTATTTGGATAAGGATAGAGTGAAAAAGGTGGACTTGTTTGAGAATGGGACAATTGCTATTGTGGAGGCTGTTTCACCTGAGTTGGGTAATCGGGTGCAACGCGTTCGTGTGCAGCTTCCAGGCCTTAGCCAAGAACTTCTTCAGAAATTCAGAGAAAAGAATATTGACTTTGCAGCTCACAATGCACAAGAAGACTCTGGTTCTTTCCTTTTTAACTTGATTGGAAATCTAGCTTTTCCTTTAATCTTGATAGGAGGGCTTTTCCTTCTCTCTCGACGTTCCCCTGGAGGAATGGGTGGTCCTGGGGGCCCTGGTAACCCCCTTGCATTTGGTCAGTCTAAGGCAAAGTTCCAAATGGAGCCCAACACTGGTGTAACATTTGACGACGTTGCTGGAGTTGACGAAGCTAAGCAAGATTTCATGGAAGTTGTGGAGTTCCTTAAGAAGCCTGAGAGATTCACTGCAGTTGGGGCTCGTATCCCAAAGGGTGTCCTTCTTGTTGGTCCTCCAGGAACTGGGAAGACTCTTCTAGCTAAGGCCATTGCAGGTGAGGCTGGTGTCCCATTTTTCTCCATATCCGGTTCTGAGTTTGTTGAGATGTTTGTCGGTGTTGGTGCCTCAAGAGTCCGTGATCTCTTCAAAAAGGCAAAGGAGAATGCTCCATGCATTGTGTTTGTTGATGAAATTGATGCTGTTGGAAGGCAAAGAGGAACTGGCATTGGTGGAGGAAATGATGAAAGGGAGCAAACCCTAAATCAGCTTTTGACTGAGATGGATGGTTTTGAGGGTAACACTGGCATCATTGTCGTTGCTGCAACCAACAGGGCAGACATTCTTGACTCTGCTCTCCTGAGACCAGGACGGTTCGACCGACAGGTATATAGTACTGATGTCCTTATTTGTTCATTAAAAATTATGGTATTTATCCCTTCAATTGTTATTGTAAAGTACTTATGCGAGCTTGCTGGAATGCACAGGTGAGTGTTGATGTTCCAGATGTACGTGGTAGAACTGAAATCCTCAAAGTTCATGCCAGTAACAAGAAATTTGATGCGGACGTGTCTCTCGATGTCGTAGCCATGAGAACACCTGGTTTCAGTGGAGCTGATCTTGCTAACCTCTTAAACGAGGCAGCTATCTTAGCTGGTCGCCGTGGGAAAACAGCAATCTCACCTAAAGAAATTGATGATTCTATTGACCGGATTGTTGCTGGAATGGAAGGAACTGTAATGACAGATGGGAAGAGTAAAAGTCTTGTTGCATACCATGAAGTTGGCCATGCTATTTGTGGGTAAGCAAAGATATTTGCAATCTGTGTATATAATTCCTCTTCTTAGTTCATAGACATAGTGGGTCGCCCTAATTCCACGAGGACTTACCTAGTAACATAACATCTGTGTTTCCTGTGCCTTTTATTACTCAGGACTTTGACTCCTGGCCATGATGCAGTTCAAAAAGTCACCCTAATTCCACGAGGTCAGGCAAGAGGTCTTACTTGGTTTATTCCAAGTGATGATCCAACCCTGATCTCCAAGCAGCAACTCTTTGCCAGAATTGTCGGTGGACTTGGCGGAAGAGCTGCTGAAGAAATTATCTTCGGTGAGCCTGAGGTGACCACTGGGGCAGCTGGTGACTTGCAACAGATTACCGGTTTGGCCAAGCAGGTACCCCTTTTCACTATCTCTCATCTCACATTTAGTTTCACTGTTGGGTTGCTGATGCGGTGCAGAGCTCAATCGACCCAAGCTCACTAAACATCCGTCTGACTTGATTGACTAAACTGAACCAGTCAGCATGTTGGGTTTATGAATCTGTGTGAAAGTGCATTTTAGTACATAAGCTTTCAGAATACCATACTGAAACACCCTCTAAAGGACATAAAATGTTTAAGGGTGTAATTTATCCTTAACGATCCATAAACTCAGAAATCCATTTTGACCTTACCCACAAATTCATGAATCCGACCCATTTGTTACCTCTAGTTGCTAGTTATAGTTTTGGGCAAGACCGTGGAATGACTATTATTAACAATCTTGTACTTGTGTTCAATATATAGATGGTGGTGACATTCGGAATGTCAGAGATAGGACCGTGGTCGTTGATGGACTCATCGGCTCAGAGTGGGGATATGATCATGAGAATGATGGCAAGGAACTCGATGTCGGAGAGGCTAGCGGAAGACATTGACAGTGCTGTGAAGAGGCTCTCAGATGGTGCATACCAGATTGCACTCTCCCACATCAGGAACAACCGTGAGGCAATGGACAAGATTGTTGAAGTCCTCATTGAGAAGGAAACAATGACGGGTGATGAGTTCCGGGCAATCCTGTCCGAATTCGTCGAAATCCCCATCGAGAACAGGGTTCCCCCGGCGGTGCCAACTCCAGTGACTGCTTGAATCTGGATTGCTGTGTTGCATTCCACCACAACCAAACGTTTCCTGTTTATCAACTGTTCATGGTTGTGTAATTTGTAGTAATCTTCGATCACTGTAATTATATAATAACAAACCAGGACACGTACGCTAAGTTATAAGTTAATGAATACAATAGTGTTTGAATCACAGTGTCCATTGGGGCATTTGTCAGCAAGAGTACACAAATAAGAACCAGATACGAGAGTTGGTTAAATTGGTTGAAGTTGAGTTGGAATCTTGGTTGACAGAGTCGACGTCATGACTCCTAGCCTATATGAGTGAGAAGCAAGGAGCAGACCTGGTCAGATTACTTTATTGTGCATATTTTCTCCAATTAAATTTAACTAGCTATTTAGCCCGCACTTTACAATTGGATTTTTTTTGCCTGGTGTGTGGCCATATTGGGCAAATTTGACAATTTGTCTAAGTTTTCAAAAGATTGCCAAGAGAAATTATAAAAGAGTCACTGTATATACAACATTGAAAAGAACAAAGGGGTCGTTTGGAAGTTGCGATAGTTTTGTTGAGATTGTCATTATGCATGTATTGTTTATAATACATCGTTTTTTTTTTTTTTGTTTTTTTAGCAGAAACAATACATGGATTGTTTCTGTGATGTGACAGTAACTATCACTCATTTTGAGTGATTGTTATATCTCAACTTTTAGTTGTGATTGTTGAGATAGTTGAGTTGAGATTGTTTTGTCTCAGCTTTTAGCTGATGCGACATACACAATCACACATACCAAACGTTGTATTCTACAATGCATCAAATTCGACAATACATGTATAATATTATACATGCATTCTCAACAATACATCTATTTAACAATCGCAACTTCCAAACGACCCCAAAGAACTTCATAAGCATAACCATGTGAAAAGTTCGGTTACATCTAAAATGGAGATCATATAGTCCGAAATCAATAGATCAGTAGTAGCAAATAACATGGGAAAAAGCAAATTAAACCTATGTTCTTGGCAAGGAAGAATCAATTTTGGTTGCAATTTAGCAATTAATCACTAATACTCCATGAGAATTGTAGGAAATGGTTCTCCAATCGAGCTTTTGCCACATGCAAAAGTAAAAAGCATGTTTTTGCTTTGTGATTTACTAATCAATCAAACAAGGAAGTAATGAGAACACATTAACTACTTAGTGCCTCTATGAACCATAGTAATTGCTTATAACATTGATGATCCAAAGTATCAAGCATTGAACTTATACAAGGGTTGATCATTCCACTCGATACATGCATAAGACAATAGCGCACATCACATTAGAGTAGTTTCCTATCACTTAACACGACATTATAAAAACTACCATAGTAGCACATACTAGATGATATAAGTATCGCATGACTAAGGCATCAAACAACTAAAACATCCGTTGGTATAAGCATCACATGACTAAAACATCTAATGATATAGACATATAATATAATGACCAAAGCATCTCAATAAATCTTAAAAAGAAGATGCATAAAGAATCAATAGAATTCACATCCTTAACAACGAATTTCTTGACTTGGAAACGAAGAAAAGCATAGTCTCGAAACTTCCATGGGCTTGGGCCAGAGGCGATCAATGCCACCATGGTTAGACTTGGATTTTCTTGCAGATCAGTGCTGAAATGTCTCCAATGGAAAGGTGCTAAAGCCTCACAAAACGACTATGCACCAAAGGTCAAGAGGGCACAAAGAATTCAGCCATGTATATCCCCTTATGATTCAGATGGGCTCTTCATTTACGGAGAATGCTAAAGGGTCTCGACAGCCGTAACTATACTGTACTCTGTTTCCATTTGATCCTGTCAAGACAAGAGTTCGTATGATATGTGAAATTTTGAGGTAAGCTTCATTAAAGATCACAGAGCATTTATTAAGTTGAAGTTTTAGATGTACACTTGAAACTTCGTGTCTATGTTACCATGCGGTATATCTTCTTAGATATAATTTTCTTTGTATAAGATCTGGACACTTGATAAAAAACATGTAAAACACAAACACACATCCAACTCTTTGGTGTTATTGCTGCTGTAGCTTGGGTTGTGTTGGTTGAGCTGGTAGGGTACATAATGATTTAAGCTGCCTGCTCATGAGCTTGCTATTGGGGAGGCCTAGTTTCAGGCGCTGCGCATCGTCGGACCACCATTGCTCCAGCCCATGAGCTTCAAGAAACTTATGTTTCTCCTTTGCCATCACAAACAGCTTCGCTGAAACCTGCCCAATGTGGTTGCCGCCGGCTCCACTACTATTCACATTCTCCATATTTTCGCTGCCCCTCCGTTTCCTTCTGGGCTAGTGTAGTGGCAACATATATAATCATTGTTATTCACATACAAATGAGCCACCCACTTCTTCGACCCCATGGACGTTTTGTCCCCAAACTGCGAAACCCAGTTCCTCAAGCCAGAAGAACTCTCATTGCCTTCAACCTCTTCCATGCGAACTCGGCCTTCTCCCCCATGTTCCTGAAGCTCATAGCGAGAGACACAGAAGGCGGGTTGAAGAGATGAGCATCCACAAAGATGGCTTCTTTAGCCAACGCCTTGCCAACTAGAGCAAGGTCAGCTCCTAGGGAGTGACCTGCAACACAAACATTGCTCGCACCGTACCTCTCAGCAACCGACCTCAATGCCTGCAGCGCCACGTTGAACCTGACAGAGCCCTTGAGGCTCTCCCAAGCGAGGAATCGGAGGTCGTCCTCGATGTCTCGTCTCATGGTTGGGCCCTTGAGCAAGGTCCTGCGTAGCACGAGGACAGCCCTGGGGCACCACTAGGCCTGATGAGGATCATGTCCGAGACTGTTGCGGATCGATCCCATTCAAGGACCGCGCCAAATATCGATACATCCCTTTTGTCGATAAGGGTTTGTGAGAGCTTGTACTTGAAGCGTGTCCACCAGCTTGGGGCTAGGGCATCCTCTAGCGTCCTGTTTTCTTGCCTGTCAAGTTCCAGCAAGTAGACCGCTTGGATGAAGCACGCAATCACCGTCCTCTTGTAGTTGTCGTCTTTCCTGCCACAACACACAAGCAGTCAGTATGGAGTCGTCAGACATTTAGGATTGTGGTTAGAAATCCCCAGAGTTAGAATCTCTCATAAATTTCTTCAGGTTCAGCATCTGCATTCTCCACACCACCCCTAAATTACTCGATAGTAATGTTACATAAAGCCTAGACGGACAAGCAAGGGAAACAGATTGGTTAAGCGAACTACAGAAAGTATAGATTACTCGATAGGTAAAGGTAATTCTCCACAGAATCTGAAGTCTGAACCCTCAATTTCAAACATGGAAGGATCCTCTAGAAATGGAAACATCATTGAAATCATCTGGGGATGAACTCAAACTAATCAAAAATCTAGAGATACATCTGCAGAAGAAAACCCAGATGCTAATCGAGGGAAGTAAATTTGGATGCCAGGGGAAAAAAGCTTCCGAACCCAAAATCTAATCTAGGTTTGATCGATAAAAAAACAATATGGATTTGATCCAAAAAAATCTATGTTACCCAGAGACGAACTGGATTTGGAATTGGGGGAAGGGAAGAAACTAACCAACTGGAACTGATGAGGTCTCTCCAATTAGGGGAGGCGACATTGCGTGGACCGGAGATGTGAAACGCATATGGGTGTGGCGCCGGCGTCGGAGAAGATAGCGGTGTTACTTCCAGCACCTGAACGGCCTCCCTCTGCTGCCCCAGGCTCGCTGGCTCAGCCTTGACCAGTGGCGGATACATGCATGGTTAGGACACCCTAAAATTTGGAAACACGATTATTCAACCTACGATAGTAATTTGCATATGAGAAAAAAATGTTTAACTGGAAGTGTGGGACACCTTTAAAATTTGGGAAAATGATTATTCAATCTCCCGTAGTAGTTTGCGTATTGGTATAAATAATATTTAAGTAGTAGTTTATGTGATTTAAATTTGGGACACTATCACTATTAGTTAATATATTTTCAATTACGCTACAACTCATTTGTTATTGTGTTTTAGATCCAAATATAATAGTAAAATGTTATTCTTATCTCAAATTATTTTCAAAACCTAACGATTAAACTCAATTACAGGATATCCTTGTCTAGTAAGATATGTAGAGAGATATTTGTTGAGCAGTATAAACACCGAATGCATTTTATCATTTGATGAAACATGTCTGAAATTTTAAAGAAACTTTTATTAGTTAGATATTTTCATATTTAATAATTATATAATTTAATACTAATATTTAATTTAATTTTTTATAGAGTACACCCCTACATAGAATTTCTGGACCCGCCACTGACCTTGACCACCATTGACGCTTTCCCTCTCTCTTCCTCTGGTAGCATAAACTTGCCAAATGCCACTAAAGGGTACTGAGATCAAGAAATAGAGAGAGGAAGAGGGAAGAAGAAGCGAGCGGGCTTAGTGATTATGCTTTTCGTTGGGACTTTTACAATGGCATCGGATTCTCGGTGAATAGTGTTCTTCCCCCGCTACTCTCTGTTGTTTCTTTGGTTGGGATACAAGTTGGAGCCGGAAAGAGAAAATCAATGATCGTTGTTAAATCTCAGGGGATGGTCATCGTCACTTATCAGGCTTGTCCTCCAACGGTCACATTTCTGTCCACTGCAATCACTACTTTACCCCTTCTGTCCACGTTCTCTTCCTTCTCCATCCTTCTCCTTTGCAAAAGGTTGTGGTTTAAGTGGTTGATCTAGTCAAACAAGTGGTTTGAAATTCAATGGTATGATTAGGATCTAATTTGTATATTTTCTAAATTTTTATGGTAAAATACATTTGTGTAGTCAAAACTTTGACGGTTTTGCCAAATAAAAGCACTTTTGGCGAAATACCAAAAATAGCCACTTCCGTCCAATTCTTTGACGGTGTAACTTAATGTGCTGACTGGACTAACAGCAACAGTTGACGTGGCATATTATATTCAAAAATAATATGAGGTGGAAATCCATCAAAGTTTATTCATTTATTCATATTTTTTATTGTTAAATTAAAAATTATTAAAATACAAAAAAGACTCGTTTATTCTCAGCACTATTCCGAAAAGCTTTTTTCCTGCGCCATCGCCGATTTCCTTCTGCATCAACACCCGAAGCTCCAGGAAGACGACGCAACAAAGAAGGTTGTTCAGTATCAAAATGTCGAGCGATTCATCATCGTTATCCCAATCGCTGTCTCACTCCATCACTCTGCCCCGTCCCAATCGCAGTATAAGAAGCCTCGACGACAACAATGGTGGGTCGCAAATTCAGTCTCAAATATGGTCACGACAGGGATGGATCTGGCCGCCATCTTCCGTCGTGCGCTCTTTCCCTCCAGATTCAGCGATTCGAGCTTGCTCTCCGCACCCACCTCTTATGTCGGAGAAGTATAGCTTCGTTGATGAATCTGACATCGATCCTGAGCATGACGCGGCGCCGCTTAGAACAATAGAAGGCTTCCAATTGCTCACCACTGTTAGCTCGGCGGCGGCGGTGCCATTCGTGATCTTTCCTCTGATTTCGCCTCCTAAATCGATCTTTGATTCCACTTTGTCGGCGGTTAGGGCTGTTAATGAGCTGAGCTACTCGTGAGCGGCTCGGTTTCGAACTCGATAAAATCTCGTTCGATTAAAAAAAAGCTCGACTCGTTAATAAATGAGCCGAGTTTGAGCTCTACCTTGTTCGGCTCGTGAAGCTTGTGAACTAGCTCGTTTAGGTGGATCGTTTAATACAACTCATGAACTGTCTCGTTTTGAGCTTATGAGATGTCCCAACATTGTGACCAGATAACCAATTCGACTACAACTTATGAGAAAATCAATCTATATTTCATGAGTTGGTTTGTTAATGATGCATATAATTATTAAATTGTATATATCACCTCATATGGTGTTTAATACATTGAGTATATGTAAGAAAATGCGTCTCATATATGACATAATATTAGATAATCACATATGACATATAAATATTAGGGTATTTTTTTAATTATAAATTATCTTAGAGTTGAGTTCGAGCTGAACTTTCGATCTTAATGATGTGTCGAGATTTAATAAATGAACTGGCTCGTGTTCGACTCGACTCGTTTATAAACGAGTCAAACTTGAGCTCGGCTCATTTATAAACGAGCCTAACATGAACAAGGCAAAGCTCAACTCGACTCGGCTCATTAACAGCCCTATCGGAGTCCAGATCCATTCTTGTGGTTTGTGCTTTCCAAGCTACTAGTCCATGGGGTTCTTCTTGGTCGAGTGAAGAGGGAAGAAGGGTTCCGGGTTTAGCGGTGGATAGACTGCAATCTGAGGGAGGGAGAAGGGTTTACGGTGGCTCATTATGTTGGGGAAAAGGGAAGAGGAAGAAGATGGAGGGCGAGAGGGGAGTAGGAAGCATTTTAGATATATTTTTTACATAAATAATTAAATACTTTTAATATAAAATATGACGTGTCATTCATGTGTCCATTGAGGCTGAGTTGTCGATTACGTGTATGATGAGTTGGCATCTCAATAAGCACACCATTAAGATAACTCACGATTTTTCTAACGCCGTTAAAGTTTATAACGGAAATGGCTATATTTGTCATGCAACATTCAAAATTCTGGCTATTTTCTGTATTTCTCGAAAAGTGACTATTATTGTCACAAGCGTAAAAGTTTTGACTACACAAATGTATTTTGCCAATTTTTATACAAATAAGGTAGTAGTTAAAAATTTAATAACTGTAATAAAATTTATCTTACATGCATCATTTAATGATTTTACATTTAAGCATATATAACCTATTAAAACCCAAGACTCATCTCATTTTGTTATTCCATTCCAAAACGAAATCATTTTTTATCGAGCCAAAAACCAGAAAAATGATCCGACCACTGATTTTCTCAATTTGGACTGGTTTTGACGGGCTATCAGCTAACACTCTAAATGGCTTGCTGGAAACCGTTTCATGTCAATTCCGATTGGACCTTATCCAACCGCCCAATCTATTAGTAGTTTGAAAACCTTGCTTTTGCAGTTTGCCCCCCTAGGTTTATATGTAAACTACAATTTGTAGTGTTTGGGCTCAATTAGACTGATATTCCTCTAGTAGGCTTCTCTTGGACTTAAACTATGACTAGTAGTGTTTGGGCTCAATTGGACTTAGTTTGATGTATGGAACCCTCCTTGATCTTCTTGCAATTACCCATTTGATCCTCCAACTTGATCCTTTGATGCTCCAACTTGATTCAATAGGTGATCCAAAACATCATATATTTCATTTTTACCTTTAAAAACACAAAACAATACAAAACATGCATACAAACTAAACACGACCTAGGCCTCAAATAAAATCATTGATCAATTAGTTATGAAATTCATAGAGAGTATATAAAAAAACTACTAAAGATGTATTGATATAATGGAAAATGTATCAAATAATAGGGAGTGATAAACACTATACATGCAACTTATAGTAGAGAACAAAAACTCTCATTGTAAAACAAAGGTAGAGATATGTTTAAAGGTAAAAACAAATTTTTGAAAAGCTCCACCCGTACGTTTTTTAAACTCTCGAGTTGAGTTAAGCTCTCGTGTTGGATGGAGATTGGCCAGATATCTCCGCGTCTACCTACTTGACTGTCGCACATGTGACATGATACTACTCCATTCACTTCAAGCAAAGATCAAATATTTTATGGGGCTGGACTATGGGTGGGTGGTACGGGTATGGGTATACCCAAAATACCCACTTCCCGTTGCCCACCCCTACCATTGTTCATATTATTTTTTGACAATATATGCACTATTAGGTGTTACTTGTAACTTCTCACCTCATTTTCAAATTCTCCTTCATTGCTCATTATCTCACATTCATGTACATTGATTGGATATAAAGGTTATGTGATGTGTGCCTATAAATAGAGCATCTTCTTGTACTAAGAAATACATTAATAAAAAAGCTCTTTTCCTCATTTTTCTTGTGTATTTTTCTCTCCATATTATTTTATTGTTGTTCTTCTTCTCGTTTAGTTTTTAACTTTGTTATGACTTTTCTATTTTCTTTTTAAAAGGAAAAAAAATCATAACAGACCCTCGCCTCTCTCTCGAGCTGTATCTCTTCCCTCACTAAATCTTTCAATAAAAAATCATTCGAAGGGGAAAGCGACAAAGGTGATTTCGAGACCAAGCATGAGGAGGGATTTCTCCAACTTTCTCGAGGAAGCGGATAAAGCATATTCGTTACCCACATAAGAATTGGGTATAAAATTAAAATCATGGTCTACCCATTCCGGTTTTGGGTATCCACAGTTATCCATGGATAATAAATTTTCTTTATAACTCTAAATAACATATTAACATTTACACAATCACACGTATACTCATATTACACAAATGAAAAAGCATGACAATAAATCACTAGAATGAAGTAAATTAATAAAAAACAACATGAGTTCATGAAAATGTTATATTTTTATGCATAATATCAAATATGTTGAGAAAAATAATAATTATTTTTAGACAAAAATACATATGCATGTCATAATAGGTCGGGTTAGGGTTGGATAGTATGAAAACCATGTCCACCTATTATACACAATATTCAAATTTGGGTTTTATCCGTACACACTGAAAATCCTTCGGGTTCGGGTTCGGGTTTACCCTACCCGATTATGTTGGATTCAGGCAGATATCCACGGTTCCGGATTTTTTTGCCATCTCTAGGTAATAAAATGAATTAAAAAATTATATATATATAAGTTAATTAAAAATATTAATTATTAAAAATTAATTTAAATGTTAAATGTGATTTTTTAAGCGGTATCTACGTGTCGCATATGTGAGTAACACATAGGCGTCATTACATCAATGATCAGACTAAGATTAATCATCATTAGTTCAATCGTTAGTTCTAATGGTCAATAGAAATTTGTGTAACGCATATGATGCGGATACCTAATATCTTGAAATATTAATGTATTTAGTAAAATTTCGTAATATAAAGGACACACTCCAAAAGATAAATATTTTTTATGTATTAGCCCTTTTGCTTTTTGTATTGTAAACCTATATCCATAAACAATCAAGGATTTTGTTCCAAATTCCATATGTATTGCTTGGCTTTTTTTTTTATTATGGGGTATTGCTTGGCTTTTTTTTATATAACTCAGGAAACTCAACCCCACATGTTACTTTGTGACAATGTGATCTACTAAACCTGAGGAGTACCTGTACAAAATACACTCAGGCCTGCCTCTGGGAACACATAAATGGCGCCGCTGGAAATCGAACTTAGAACCTCACACATCCTGAACCAACCAGACCAACGGTTTCACCATTAGGCTATATTATCTTTGGCGGTATTGCTTGGGTTTTAAATGAGCAATTTGGATCCAAATCCCTAAAAAACTTCTCAAGATAAAATAATTCATCCAACGACCCATGGAGTAGACGAATCATCACAAACCAATGCCCTCGGTAGATGCAGCTTTGAACGTTTCAGTTTCCCATGGAAAGGGAAACTACTACCAGGCTAAATATTTCCAATTATGACAAAATATAATGTTTTGGAACGTACAGAAACTCCCACAACATTATTTATCCACTCTTACGTTAAGACATCTAGGCATTTACCTGCTCCGTTTGCTCACACAGTAACCCTAGTCCTGCAACATCTGGAACTGTGGAGGTAGTATCAGCAGCAGAACTGACAAACAGCTTTCCCCACTATTCTTCTTCCTTTGAGTAATACAACGAGGTACAATAAGAGCATCTGAGACCTGACTGTGTCGCTTACTTAGAAGTCGCGACAACAGGCTCTGCTGAAGAATCATCTTGCAACCCGCATACCAGGTTTGCAGGAACAGCCACATCGATCATCTTAGGGTATGGAAGATTAAGATCTGCAGAATAGCTCAATATGCTTAGGTTTCACCCTTGAATTGGCTAGTGGTAGTCCTGAATTAATGTATGAGTAGTGATTAGTATTTCTTACTTTCCATGATGCTCTTGAATGTTTCCTGCCAAAAGGTAGGTAAAGCAGACAGCTTAGGCACAGGGAGTCAGAAGTTTTACAACTAGCAACGTGGACAAATTTCAAATGACAATTTGGATGTTCGAACTCCCAGAAAACTGACGCCAATTTTAGGGTGCGAAATACTACCAACAAGAGTTGGGTTATGCTAGCTTCATCATAATTCCATTGCACTCGATAATTTAATGATTAATGGATAGGAAAATAAAACGATCTTCCATTTACCAAGTGCATCATATGACTCAACTCATTATACTGATACAGACCTTATTAATGACTTAGTTATAAGTATACAGTTATATTTCTTAAGTGGTATCAGAACATGGGGCTAATAACGATTACCTTGTCTTTGGTGAGCCGAGGATTACACTGGATCTCCTCTCCAACTGTGCTGACCTGCAAAACAAAAGGGTTTGGGATTGAACAGCCTATTGAATCAGTCGCTTTAATCACATCCCTCTAAGATAGTCCCATACAGTGAATCCCTTGTAATCATGAGCAGGATAGATGTAGGTGTCCTTGGGCAAGGTGAAGATCTGATTCAATAGAAACCAATCAAATGTAAATAAGAGAAATACAAATGTTGAACATTTTGAAGAAGGATTGGAACCCCATTTTCGTAGTCCCGTGTTCTTGCCTGAGAATGCACAGAATGGTAGAGTTGATGCGAGCTCCCACCCTGCACATAATTTGGCATAAGGCTGAATCTAGTCTATAAATGTTTCTTTCAATGCATACCAAGTAATTAAGCATTTAACTTGTTCAAGTTCCAAACTTCCAAGCACAGTAACATGAATAGACTATTAAGAGCAAAGTCTTAAAGTGGACCAAAATGACACCTGAAAATCAGTTCGTCCACATCCACGTATCAACAAAGTGTCTCCAGTGAATGCCATCCTTGGGTTTGGTTGGTCAGTCCCATCTCCTGTAACATAGGTAACACAGCCCTGTGTATGCCCAGGAGTAGCTCTAACCTGCCAAAAATTCCACACAGATAGGTATCTAGATCGAAGATAAGCAGATGCTAGATAGGTACTGCAAAAACAAATTAACCATGCCACTAATGTTGAGTGCAGTGCACAATTCCCAAAGCCAGAGAGCTGACCTTTGAATTCGATTATGAAGAACTTGCAAATAATCTGATACTGGTTTTTTAAAGTTTACTAGATACTAGTCAATGCGAGTCATAACCTTACCTGAACGCTTCTATCCGGTAACAAGCAAATTAAAGTCCAAAAGCCAAATGCAGCAGCAGGTTTACCTCCAGGAAAAGATATCCAAAGTAGATCTTGTCTCCTGCTTCGACGTGCATATCAGCTTTGGAATTGCTTGCTTTTGAGATAACAGACTTTACACCAGGAACCTTTGTCTGTAAAATAAGGTTAGAGAGATCAGGGGAATGCCAGGGATATATAGCCACCACATATGGGGAATGAAAGGTACTGATAATCGACAAATAATGAAACCAGCATGGAAAAGTTCCTACCTTCAGCAACCCAGTCCCAGTTACATGGTCAGCATGGACATGAGTGTTTATGGCGTATATGAGCCTTAATCCCAAGTCTTTTACAAGGGAGATGTCCCTGTCTACAGTCTTGTCTACTGGGTCAATCAGCTGTAGAAGAGAAAGACAGGTCAACTTAAGTAGAAGGACGGGCATGTGCGGATGAAACAAATCGACAACAGATATACTACGAAAGTTATCTGGAACAGCTTTAGTCAGATAACCCATTTTCCTGAATATACAGAAAATCCAGAAACAGTCCCCATTTCAATTCCAAGTTTAAAAGCATAGCTGCAGACTATAACTTACGTAGATGAAACTGTTTTATCAAGTAAGTGTAGCAGATTCCACATCCTAATTACATCTGCGCAGACTACACATCCCTCAAATTCCTAATAAACCACCTCCAAGATCATCATCAGCAGTACCCATCACATGCGATGCACGAGCTAGCTAGTATAAAGCCATCTTCTCAACTCTCTGACAGCTATCACAACTCCCTTTCCAATCTCCTCTCCCATAATCTAATAAGTCGATCCATAAATAAGGAAACAATGGGGCATCTAAATGCTGAATTTGGTTGTAATCAAGCAGGGTTCACATAAAGCGGGAAAAGTAAACAAGGAAAGAAAAAGAAGCAGAAAACACCCAAATCATCCGATCACGATTACACCAGGGTCAGGGTAAATAATTTAATGGGTTGCGATCACAATCACACCAGGGGGGATAATGGAATGGCCTAATGGGTGGATTGGATGCACTATTTGTTGAAATGTGGAGGGAATTGGGTTAAATTCTCTTGTTTGTCTCAACCATTGACATGTGCTATTTGACAATAGAGAAAGTCTAAAATACCATAATCGAAGACGATAAAACAAGAAACGAGAGAGCCCAGTTTTGTTACCAGAGCAGGCCTATCAGGGTGACCAACATCGGCGAGCAGATAAGTGTAAGTGGAGGAGTCCTTCTCGAAGAGCTGACGAAACAAGAGCTTGGTGGTGAGGTCGGAGGAGGTGCTGAAATCCCTCATCGCGCTCACGCTGCTTCTCAATTTGGCGGAGGGGAATGTTTGACTCCGTGAAGACAGAGACCGCGGAGAACATGAGCAGCGGGCGGATGGCGAGAGGCGATGCAAGCTGACTCGAAGCATTGATATGCTGCGCTGAGCAGAGCAGAGCTTCGTTGTTCTCCTCGCCCTTAGTTTCTCACGCTGCTCTCTGTTCCGATGATAACAATTCTATGAAAGGTTGGATCGATTTGATGGATCTAGGAGTCGAGGACAAGAAATGCCAAGTTTATGTGTATAGGGAAGAGAAGCGATAACGTCGCCGTCGTTTGTTGGCGACGCAGACAGCCAGGGGCAGGCAACCAACAGCGGGCAAAATCTGCGTGCGCTGTGACTGAGATCCCGCCCCCGGGAGTGGGAGCGGCATCTTGTTAAAAAAATTCCCTTTGCCTATCATTGCCTGACATGATCATATCGGGTAATCATCATATCTTTGGTATCTTCCAACTTTCGATATGACATTTTATTTGGATTTATCTTTGAGCTAGAAGGATAATGACATTTTTTATCAAATTTTTTATGTATAATTAATAATTGTATATAATAAAAAAAATCGCATTTTATTTGAATTTATTTTAAGATATTGAGCTACTCTATTAAAAATGGAAAGGATATGAAGAAAATTTTCAACTGCAAAACTCAATCTAAATCCGTTCATTTTAATCACATCTAATTTTTTTTTTCTTCAAAAGATATCATAGATTGATCAAAACATAGGCAGTTACACCCTGGAAACCAGCCAGGACTGGAAATCAAAAAAGCGACTCATAGTCAGATACAAAGAAAGGGCTTTCCTAGCAACCATATGTGCTACCCTATTGTTCTCCCGACCTACAAAACGCACACTAAAACCAGACTGAGCACGCAAATGATGGCCAATCTCTTCCAGAATAGTACCCAACCTGCAATCTCTCACATCGGCTTGATTAATTTTATCAATGATCACCTTTGCATCGCCTTCAAAACGGACCTCCACCAATCCCAGCTCCCTACACCAAATAATAGCTTCCCTAAGCACGAGCAACTCCACCACCATAGGATCATCCATTTGAGAAAACTGAACCCCTCTGGCCTGAATGAGGGTCCGCAGCTGGGTCCAAAAGGACCATCCCACCAGCCGAATGCGACCCACCCTTCGTAGCCCCGTCCCACATGCAAACAATTTGGGAATCACCCATTTGCACTGGAGATGGCAACACCGAATTCAGCTCCCTAGGATCTTGGTCCGCAGGAAGACCCACCCACTCCTCATACTGTTGGTTAAACTGGCGCATGAGAGTCGGAATCCCAAATTGCTTGCCTTCAAAGACTACCCAATTCCGGGATCGCCAGATCCTCCAAAGGATGGCAATAACAGCCATAATCATTGACGACTGATGAATCAGAGCCAACAGACGCTTGAGAAACAAAAGAAAAGTGTGCCGAGGCAAACCCTCCCCCAAGTAATCCAACCCTGAATAATCCCATAGAGCCCGTGCCACCGGACAAGAAAGGAACATCTAATAGCGAAAATAATTCCCATCAAAAACAAATTTGGAGGGAGTAATAGTAATTTCGCACCCTCTGTCTTTTTTTCTTTTACTTTTTCTAACATGGATCCAGCTGAGAGAAGACTATTTTACTAATTCTCTCTTTTTCTTAATTGAATTATATTTTCATTCGTTTTAACTTGGGATTTTTTTAAAAAAATTGCATAGAAATTATGCATTAATTAATATATAACACAATTATATCCATTTTGATATATTTTGAGCAAAGAAAAATCAGCTCTTCAAAACATATGTTGGTTATAGTATTATCAGTTATCACTATCATATCATGATCTTACCACTATGGTCAGACTAACCACACATCATATCACTATTATATCATAGTAATAATATCATTATATGATAGTGATATGATGTCATCAAATTATTTTGTCAAATAAAAAACCTCATACCAACACCATATCACTATTATATCAACATTGTATAACTATTATATCATGTCATAGTCAATGGTAATATAGTGATATGATGATGGTAAAATGACCTAAAAAATTTATCTCAAAATATGAAAATGTATATAATATCAACATGGTGCAATGACTTAAGAAATTATACCAATATCATATCAACATCATACTAATATGATAGCATACTACTGTCAGTGGTAATATTGTGATATATGGTAAGATGACGTAAAAAAAATTTGCTCAAAAAAATATCAAAATAGATATCATCTTGTAGGGTTAATTGCATGGTTGGTCACTGAGATTACGAAAAACGTTCAAGTTTGGTCACTCGAAATATTTAAATCCATTGGTGGTACTTCAGTTTACTGAAACCGTTCACGTTTGGTCACTCTCCGTCCAACTCCGTTAACTTTTGCCTATGTGGCAGTCAACTCTAAAAGTTGACCGTTAAATGTGTGACGTGGCAATTAAAAAATAATTAAATAAATAAAATTTAATTTTTTAAAATTTCCACCTCATTTCTAACTATTAAAAATATAAAAATAAAATTATAAATTATTAAAATTCAGAACGTGTATCGATGCAGAATTGGTGGATACTGCCCAGAAATGGAAAACTAGCATTCACACAAAATCTTTATCCAATATCTTACGCGTGTCTAGTGTGGAGATTATCCTAATGCATATCCAATTATCCATCGCTAATCAAGGACGGAGATTTATATTGGGGACTCCCTTCCGTCATCGCCGAATACAACGAACCCATCACCGATTGCTCCCTCGCCAGCACCTCCACCACTTCCGCTCCGCCATTCTTGCACAGAGACCACAAGATCGAGATGCAGTGCTCTTTCTCGCCACGCACGAACCGCATCGATTGTAGACCTTAATAGCCACAGCCAACCCAGAATATCTCACTATCTCAATCGTCCTTTCCACCGTCTCCGCGAAAGCTCTTCCTTGTCGGTACCGAAACGACTTTGATTAGAATCGGAAAGGCGTCGTTCTCAGCACTCTCTGGTTGTTCCCCTGGTACATTAGAAGGCCGAAGAGCGCCACCACAACGTTCTTCTTCCCGCAGGGGTTTCCATTCTTGATAAGCAAAATCAGCCCAGGGATTGCTTCCGGAGTTTCCCCGATCAACTTTCTGTATCCTTTCATCGACGACAGGTAGTAAATCGTCGCCGCCGCGATTTGCTTTTACTCCGAACTGAATCCGTTTTTCAGTACGGCTACAATTGATCGAATTCCATCGTTCTCGATGATTGCCCTCTTCCCGCCGGCGTGCTTCGAGAGCTTCAACAGGGTTGCAGTGGCGTTCTCTTGAGCGGTCGTCTTCTTCTTCCCCGATGCAAAGGAATTCAGGAGGTTTAGCAGGGGGAGAATTACCCCTGCTTGAATCAAACACCCTCTGTTGAAGATGTTGGATTTGGAAAGCAATCGGACCTCGTACGTACGCCGCCTTGTTCTTCTCCTTTGCCGTTCCGAAGACCACCATCCTAGCAAGAATCCACCGCCGTTTGTGGTCAAGAATGCGGCGGCGGAGGATTCTCCGTTCGTTCTTAATTTTACTCATTTATAATTTTATTTTTATATTTTTAATAGTTAGAAATGAGGTGAAAATTTTTAAAAATTATTTTTTTATTTAATTATTTTTTAATTGCCACGTCACACATTTAACGGTCAACTTTTAGAGTTGACTGCCACATAGGCAAAAGTTAACGGAGTTGGACGGAGAGTGACCAAACGTGAACGGTTTCAGTAAACTGAAGTACCACCAATGGATTTAAATATTTCGAGTGACCAAATTTGAACGTTTTTCGTAATCTCAGTGACCAACCATGCAATTAACCCCATCTTGTATAACACAAAAATCTGATTTTTCTGTGCATAATTTTTTTTTAATCCGATGTAAAATAAATGAGATAATGTTCATTGAATTTTCGTAGGAGATTTGAAAGTTACTTTAACAGCCTCCTGGGAATTGGTGTCGGCCCACCTCAAATCATGTCAGTTGCCCCAAAACTTCGATCAGCCTTCTTCCCAACTCCTACTTTCCCTCTTTATCATTCTACAAATATTATCATTATATCAGTTCTCTCTCAATCTCAACCATCCATTATAGTTTTGTACCATAACTCAAACCTTAGAAAATTGTTGGTTTTGGTAATTTTGCTCAAACTCATGGGCATTTACGTATCCAACCCAATTAGATTGAGTGGATGGGTAGTGTTTGTTGGGTTTATATTTGTACCATTTATTTGGTTTGGATTGAGATTGTATTTTAGTACCTAAAAATTTCGAGTCTTATACTTATACTTTTTACAAATAGCTCCACTTTTGTATGTGTAGTTAAAACAATTTCAAGTAAATAGGCATTCAAAACCAACATATACCCATTTTGAATATGGACACAATACTCATACCATGCCCAAAGTCATCTACAAAACTTCAAACCCTTATAGACTTCACTGATGTCCTACCCAAAATCAATAAGTTTACTTGGATTTGGGTAAAATTACTCATGGATGGTTTTTTTATTAATTGAAGGCGACAAAGAATGCCAAGAAACAAATAATAACAGCAACTCTTGGACTAGAAAAGAGTTAGGCTCGAGTAGGGGCTGAACAACCAGACAGACAAAGAAATCTTCAACAAACGAGACCAAGTAGTACAAGAATGACAGCCTTGTGAGCCGTCCAACGCAACCCACGCTAGGGGAGAAACTGGTTGTTGGTCTTCACCACTCTTCTCGGGAAGCTTACCCTAACAAGGTCCTCCGTTATAATCATATGTAAATCAAATCGACCTTTAGTTCATGGCTTCATAATAAGATTGGATCTCCAAACGTAAGTGGATGACTATATGAATTTCTGCATGTCAGCAATAGTTACTAGAAAGGAGATAAAGGATGCTACCTTCTCTATCAACCCTTATCAGGCCCCGAGGATTGACGAGTTACTAGTATCTTCTTTCCAGCATTTTGGGATGTTTTTGGAGAATCCCTATGTGAAGCTACCCTTTCCTTATTCCACATAAGAAGATTGTTACATAATTTCAATCATACGCTTATCACACTTATACTCAAGGTTCCAAATGTTGAGACATGGAAAAAATGAGACCTATAGGGCTCTTCCAAGTGTTCTACAAGATCATTTCTAAAATCCTAGTATATAGACTTAGTCGTTTCATTCCTATGATTTTTGGTCCAAACCAAAATGGTTTCGTTAAAGATAGATCAATCACAGACAATATCCTAATTGGACAAGAAGTGATGCAATTTCTCAAAATCAAACCTAAAGACAAGAAGAAGTGGATGGCTTTGAAGCTAGACATGGAAAAAACATATGACAAAGTAGAATGACCTCTGTTATTGAAAGGCCTAGGCTTTGAAGACAAAATGGCTCAAATGGATAAGGTCATGTATAACCATTGTATCATTCTCTATTGTCTTAAATGGATATATCCATGGATACTTTCATCCACAAAGAGGCATCTGCCAAGGGAATCCTCTCTCCCCCCTCCTATTCGCCCTATACATAGAAGCCTTCTCCTCCCTTATACAGAATGTCATTAGTAATTCTACCCTCCATGGCTTGCGTATCCACAAGGAAGCCCCCTTGATTTCCCATCTTTTCTTTGCGGATGACTCTTACATATTCCTCAAGCATCCTCTACTGAATGTATCCACCTGTTAGAAATACTTCATGAATATGAAGTTGTGAGTGGCCAACATGTGAATCTTCAAAAATCAGCTGTTACATTTAGTGCAAATGTCTCAGATTTGGAAGATGCTCACCTGACCAGATTACTTGGTGTATCAACTATTGGGGCTCATGATCGATATCTAGGACTTCCATCTTAGGTTCATCGATCTAAAATCCAAACCTTCTTATAAATTTAGGACTCTTTAGCAGCCCGAATATGCCAGTGGAAGATAAAACATATGTCATTGGCTGCCAAAGAAGTAGTCATTAAAGCGACAGGGACAACTACGTCTACCTTTGTGATGTCCTGCTTTAGACTATCTTCTGAAATGTGTAGAATGATGAATGAGAAACTTTCCACCTTTTGGTGGGCAGAGCAAGAAAAAGAAAAAGGTTTACATTGGTTATCAAGGTCTAAATGTTGTTTCGGCAAATTTGAAGGAGGCATGGGCTTCAGAGACTTTGATAGATTCAATGTTACAATACTAGCTAAATAAGCTTGGAAAGTTCTCCCAAACCGGATAGTATCCTTGAAAGAATGTATCAGGCTAGATATCATTACAATGACCACTTTCTTCTAGCACGCCAGGGAGCCCACTCTTCATGGACTTGGCAAGGTATCCTGCAAGGGAGAGACCTATTGAGTAAAGGTCAACGTTGGCAGGTAGGATCAATATCTAGGATAAACACTTTACAAGATCATTGGTTGCCAACAAACCCTCCATCTAGCCTTGTACTTCTAATTGCCACTTCCCTAGATCATCTAATGGTGTCATTCCTCCTAGACTCTAACTCTATGGCTTGGAATACAAACTTGATTAAAACCCTACCATCCTATTACGGTCGAAAAATCTTATCCATCCCCCTCCCATCTTCCCCTCAAGAAGACAAATTGATTTGGTACTATGACAAGTCTGGTCACTACACAATGAAATCGGGGTACCACCTCCTTTCGTCTAGAATAAATACACTCACTAACACCTTTTCATATTATTTGGACACCAAATTCTTGAAATATCTGTAGAATATTTCAATACCTTTTAAACTCAAATTCTTCCTTTGGAGATTTGTACGTGGATTCCTACCAGTTAAAGGAATTTTTTTAATATAAAAATTATTTCATCAAGGCTCTGCCTTGTTTGTTGTGAGGCAAATGAAGACTTCAAGCACTGGTTCTTTGACTGTAGAATCACAAGAGAACTGTGGGCAATATCATACCTCGACCAGTTAAGAGATAGTATGAAGGCAAACCCTATAGACCTTGCGTGGATAAACCTCTTTCTCACTCCCCATATCTCCAAGAATGACATAGGCTACATAGTCTTCTTATTCTGAAGAATATGGAAAGGACGGTGCAAGGCTACTATGGGCATATTTTATAAAAATCACAAGTTCTATACAGGCAACTATCAGCGCAGATGGAGTAATGGGAAACAACAGAGGCATAGAAGGTTCAGAAGTCAGAAGGAGTTCAAAGGCCACCACCTCACTCTTCCACAGAACATATGCAACCTGCCCTAGTGACGGTTTTCTAGTCCGTTTCGATGGGCTACAAAAATCTATAAAGGTTGTTCTACTGGCTTCGTTGGCTTCTCAAGTGATGGAATTATTTCATTTGCAGTTGGTAAATTCTATGATGGTATTACTGATGCCTATACATCAGAATCACTTGATATTCGTGGTGCTATGAGATGGTGTCTCACCCATAATTTTTTGATTGTTGCTTTTTGTGGGGACTCTCAATTGGTCATCAAGGATATATCATCGAGGCAGCCTTCTCATTCAAGAGCGGGAGCCATTTCAGAGGAATTTTTCTATGTTCTTCCCTCTTCTTTCTCAGTCTCGTGTCACTTTGCTCCTCGGAGCTTCAACAGGATGCCCACCTCATGGCAAAATAGGCTCTTTTATCGGGAGTCTGGTTGCATACGGACTATCTCTCTTTGTTAGTGTCTATCTTGTAACTGTGTTGTCCGGCCATGCTTTGGGGGCTTATCTTGGATAAAAAAACTCATTGTGAGTTATTTGGGACGAATTAACTCGTTTGGCATAATAAAAGTAGGATGTGGTATTTGTCCATGAGTTATTCCAAAATAACTCAAAAACGAGTTATTTGAAATAACTGGAGGGTACCCAGTTATTCTCAAATAATGTGTTTTGCATTAAAGGCCACCCAATTCTGTTCATGGCCTCTCTCCTATCGCTTCCTTTTTCCTCTTCTTCACCTCTTATTCGATTCTTCTGGGCGAAATCAATATCCATTGAGGGACGGACTTTTATTCTACAACCTTTGGATTTCTTTCTTTATGAAGATCATGATGAGTATGCTCAATCTTAGGTTGCGGGGGCGAACAAAGGGCTTCTCTAGCAGCGGCCAATCCTTCTCTATTGGTGAACGAAGCCTCCAACAAAGGACTTTGTTTGGCGAAGAAGAAGATCGGACTACCAAATTGGACCAATCCACCAATCTTCCCCCACTGCTTCACCATTCACTTCGGCGTAACAATCACTTCGCTGCTCCGATTTCGACGGAAAAGAAGAAGATCGGACGACCAAATCGCATCCTTGAAAGCGTCTTTGGTGTGCGACCAAATCTCTTGCAGCAATAATCACTTTCTCGCTCTGATTCCGACATGCAACAAAATGTCTTCAGTCAATTTGGAGTTGGGCTCCAGTTCTCTATTCTAGACCTGGAAAGTCGCACTTACTCCCTCCCCGGTTTGTAATCTATGCTGCAATTTTGTAA